ACTGCCCCTCTCTCAGCCATTCCTTCTCAGTCATTTGCTGCTTCCTCTTACTTTGTCCATTTACTAATTTTGGTTCTCATTTCCTCTATGTTTAGTCTCTGTGAGGAACAGCATCCATTTTCTTCATAATCTCAACCAACACCTTTTTAGTGATATCCATTCCCAGCCCAAGCCTTTCTCCTAAGCCTCAGTCGTGTATACTGAGCTCGTGACTGAACTTCTCTCCTTAGGTATCCCATGGGTGCTTAATCGTTCATATTCAAAATGTCCTCACTGAACTTGTCATCTACTTCCCCTGTCCCAGTGTTCCATCCCACACCCTTAAACACACACACACACACACACACACACACACGTTCTCTTTCTCTCTCAAGCCCTGATCCTCCTCCACTCGTCCCTGTCCTAGTTAATGATACCACTGTTGTACTCTACAACCAGGCCAGGGACCAGGGAGTCATTATAGATTTTTCTCTCATCTTCTATCCTACCCATCACTGCCCTAGTCCAAAAGCTCATGATTTCCCACCATGACTGTAAAACCACACAAAAAAACTCCATTTATTTAAATAACAATAAAGAGCACTTTTATAACATTGCCCCTAGTATTTCAATTATGAAAGGATGACAGATTACCTTATTAGCAAACCACGACGGCTATACAGAAACATACATAGCTTACACTAATTGCAGCATTTAGAGACCTTGTTTATACCCCCAGTACTTACTGTTCAGCACATAGCAGCTTGTTGCTTATCAGTTCACTTTTGAATAAAGTGAATGTGGCATATTTAAAGAGATCCATAATAATTATTAAGTTGCATGTTAAGCAATTTAGTCAATAATATATAACAAAATACAATTATTACATCTTGTTAATTCACCAGAACCTCTTTAAAACACACCACCCACACAATGACACACATACCCATATATCAGGAAGTAGAACTGCTATAAAGGAGCTTCCATCCACTCCCATTCTACTGTCAGGGATAACACTTAACCTATTTATGCTCTCTCAGTTTGTAACCATTCCTCACCTCAAAATGATGAAAGTAAATACATTCTCATGGCCCCTTAAGAGTAAAAATAGTATATCCTTAGGTGAATCAGAGGGACTTTGCCTCTCTAAGTCTTTCCTACTTTGCTCTCTGATGCCTGAAAGATGAAACCTTCTATCCCACAAGATATCAAACTTAGTTTTCCTGAAGAAGAGAAACAAGTAAACTATTCAGTAAGGCTAAATAGATGAAACTCAATCATGCTAATATACATAAAAGACAAACATGGAGTCTTCTTTGGTCAACTGAGAAAGGAGATGAGGAGAGAGGTATATTGTTAAGAGGCCTTCAGAGGCAATGCCTTCCAATCATTCCTGATTTTTTTCTTAGTTTTCTGTAATGCACATTTATTTTATAGTTAGGGGAGAAAATATTCCAAAGCAAGTCTGCAGGTCTAGTGTAAAGGGCAAATAAGATGGGTGCGGTGGCCCACGTCTATAATCCCAGCACTTTGGGAGGCCAAGGTGGGAGGATCACTTGAGGGTAAGGAGTTTGAGATCTGCCCAGCCAACAGGATGAAACGCTGTCTCTACTAAAAATACAAAAAAAAAATTAGCCGGGCATGGTGGCTCGAATCTAGCCTGTAATTCTAGCTACTTGGGAGGCTGAGGCACCAGAATTGTTTCAGCTGGGGAGGCGGAGGTTGCAGTGAGCTGAGATCGCACCACTGCACTCCAGCCTGGGTGACAGGGCAAGACTCTATCTAAAAAAGTTGTAATAATAAGCAAAGAAATTACAAGACCTCTGTTCTCCACACTACACATATTTACCATTCATTTGCTAGTGGTTGCATTCCAGTTTCCAAAAGCAAAACCCCAGATTTTAAATTATGACTTCAGTTCTACTCTTATGACAAGAGGAATATGCAGAGACATAAACTAACTGTGAGTGGAAAGGGGTGGGAGAGGGATAATTATCTCCTGACTGTATTGACACTTCTACCCTAATGAAGCACCTAAATAACTGAGTTCTTTCTTCTTATAAAGTACATTACTTTGTAGAGTATTAAAGTTCCAGGCAGGAATTCTTACTAGTTTTAACCCATGAATCTGATGGACTGAAAAAGTAAAGTAAAGTAAAAGCAATTTTCCCGTTTTTCTTTGAAATTATCTCAGGAATTTGCACCCCCTTGTGGTCAAGCATAAAATTCTTAGTTTTCAAAAGATTTTTTACAATTGGGCGGGCTCTTTTTCAGGCACAGGAACTACAGTATATTAGTTGATTTTGTTTTCTCCCATTTTAGCGAATCAAGAAGCTTTCATGAAATAAATAATTTTAGTTTTTTAAATAAGACTTTAAACACAATTGGATTTAAATCTTCTAAAGGTGACTTCCACATAAACTTCAGTCTCTGGAAAATAGACATAATAATTGCACCCACTTAGCTACAGGAGAATTCAATGGAAAAATTCATGTACACGCTTATCCTAGTGCTTGACACATATCAGGTTCTCAATAAATGTTATTTATCATCATCACTTTAGAATTGTCTTGACAGATTATATAAAGAAGGGGATAAAATTCTAATGTATAAAAATGTATAAAAAAATTCTACAGTGAGGAAAGTGTTACTCACCTATTTGTAAGTTCTAGTACAATTTTACAAATGTCTCCCAAATATAACACTCACCCAGACTCGCCCCGCTGATTATCCCCACAGGTACATCATATATGGAGTCTCCCTCTGTAGCCCAGGCTGGACTGTAGCAGTGTGATCTTGGCTCACTGCAACCTCCACCTCCCGGTTCAAGCAATTCTCCTGCCTCAGCCTCCCAAGTAGCTGGGATTACGGGCACGAGCCACCATGCCCAGCTAATTTTTGTATTTTTTTTAGTAGAGACGGGGTTTCACCATGTTGGCCAGGCTGGTCTTGAACTCCAGACCTCGTGATCCACCCACCTCAACCTCCCAAAGTGCTGGGATTACAGGTATGAGCCACTGCACCTGGCTGATACATTATATTTTTAAAGTACAAGCAATATGTGGTTATCTCTGGATGCTAGAAATTTGGATGATTTTTACTTTATATATTTTAGATGGACCTGGGTTTTTTAACTTCAATCAGAAAACAATAAAACAATTTTATTTCCATATATTATTCTTATGAGATGGTAAAATAAATTAACATCCTTATTTGCCTAACAGGGATCATTATTCATATTTGGGGAAAAAAATCATTTGTCAGTCTGACTTAATCATTTTAAGGGGCTCTTGAATAAGAATGCTAACTCTAATGGCGCTAACTGTAGTTTGATTTTTTTTTTTTTTTTTTTGAGATGAAGTCTCCCTCTGTCACCCAGGCTGGAGTGCAGTGGTGCGATCTCGGCTCACTACAACCTCCACCCCCTGGGATCAAGCAATTTTCCTGCCTCAGCCTCCCAAGTAGCTGGGATTACAGGCACATGCCACCATGCCCAGTTAATTTTTATATTTTTAGTAGAGATGGAGTTTCACCATGTTGGTCAGGCTGGTCTTGAACTCCTGACCCATGATCCGCCCACCTGGGACTCCCAAAGTGCTGGGATCATAGGCGTGAGCCACCGTGCCAGGACTGTAGTTTGATTTTTAAAACAACTATTAAAGAAGCCAGTTTAAAATATCAGTGTTAATGACTGACTCACAATAACAAACATTTACTAATATGCCAAGCACTGCTGAAATTCCTTTAATATGTTAGCTCATTTACATACTTAACCCAATGAGCTATTAATAGTACTTGTTTTAACAAAAGGTCCAACAGATAATTTACCCAATAAGACCACACAGCTAGTAAGTAGTGGAGCTGGGATTCAAACCCAGGCATTTCGGTTCCAGAGTCTGCCCACTTAAGTAGTGCACAAAAGTACCAGAGATTAGGTAGTGTATTTATACTACTCTGCCACGTCACTTATTGCTGATCTCAAATTGCTAAAATCCATTTCTTTTCCAATGCAGCTCAATAATGCAAACCATGTACCCTTCTCACACTTCTTTACTTATTAGTACTTCAGGAACTTTCATATCTACAGTCTTACTTAACATTTACAATGAAGGCTTTAAAATATTTACAACTTTATTATTAATTGTCCTATTAGAGTGCCCATTTGTTTGAAGGTAGACAGGTTTGCCTAGATACTGTACTTCTACTTACCAGTTATAAGACTTTGGGGCCGATTTCTTAATCTGAGCCTCAGATGTCCTCATCTGTAAAGTGAAGATAATAACTACTTCATAAGGCTGTTGTGAGCAATAAACACAATGAATCCGTAAATCATTTATTTAGCACAGTGCCCAGCACACAGTACACAATACGTGGTAGCTTTCAGTTTACCAATGCGTAGCGCAACAGAAACTCGTCTTTGCTGGATTCAGTTCACTTACCACGCCATTAAAAAAAAAAAAATCACCCTAAGTGACACACAAAAACTGCCCATTCCTATCTCAGAAAGTTTAAGGACAAGTAAGACGGTAAGAGAAACTGGATTCAATGAAAGCGCCTTCCCAACAGGCATCTTAGGACAGGGAAGAAGCGCTTCAGCAAACTTAATCATTAACTTGAGGCAGTCGCGCGCGCGCGCACACACACACTTGATAAGGCGGGAGACCACGCCTCCTGTGTGGGCTCAGGTTGGATCGCGCAGCGTGGTAGAGAACCCCAGGGCTGCTGAATCTGACAGATGTGGACTCATCCATTTCCGTGCTACCTGTGCTGTCTTCGGCAAATTACTTAACGTCTCTGAGCCTAGGTTTCCTTGACTTCAAAACGAGAACAGTAATAGTTCCTACCTGGTAAAGTTGTTCCGAGGCATAAGTGCGGTAACACCTGTAAAGCGCTGGCGAACGGCAAGAGCTCTACACGCTGGCAGGGCCGTTTTAAAAGCACGTGTATCCATACACAAGGTTTCACTGACACATTCCGTTGTTTGGAGTTTAGAAACTGGCTGTAAGATGTTTTTCTTTTTCCCTAAGCTGGACCCGTATTTGTTTACCTCCAACATAGACTAAATGCCTGGGGACTGATAGCTATCTGTGGACCCTCGGCCCCACAGCCTCTTCGTTCTCTCCACCTCCACGGCTTTGCAAAAGCGCTACACGCACGCGCAAGAAAAGAAGCAAGAGGACTGCGACCGAGGAAGCGAAGGGAGAGCCGCGCACAACGATGATTCTGCGCATGTGCCTGGCGGGAGGCGGAGAGGGTTGGAGTTTGCGCTTGCGCAAAAATGTCGGGAAAGCGGGAGAAGAGGGGTTAAGAGGCGGTGTTGACAGCTGTGGAGGCAGCCCGCGTTCCCGGCATGCCCTGGGGCGGCGGGGTTGGCTCTAACGAATTTGAATGAGGAGCTTCTGCGCTTTCGGCGCCATTTTCGAGTGATGCCTGATCTCATCAATCTAGCGGGAGAGACAGGCTAACCTGTCCGAGAGTATAGCGCCACTAGGACTCCACCGGAAAAATTACTTTAAAAATCGCCAAAAATTACTTGGAGCAAAGGGCAGTCGCGGAGCTTCGCCAAGATTGGCGCAGTCGGTAAGAGCCTGAAGAAGTAGCAGAGCAGAACTCGGGAGGTGGCAGTGGTGGGACCCGCAGGCAGTCGGGGGGTGCAGGGAGTGGGCGCTGGGTCGGCTCTCACTTAATTGCCAAAAATCTGAGGAAAAAGGGTTAGGGGCAACTTGGGCATCTGCGAGTGGGCGGCAGCTGGCGGAATGTGGCGGGAGCGCAGAGAGACGGGGCTGTGGGGGGAGGGGAACTGCAGTTTGAGCGGGACGCGGACGGGCTTCGGCTGAGTAGCCGCCGCCCAGTGGATCTGTCAGCAAGACCCCCATCCCGAGGCTGGAGCCAGGAGGATGCGCGGCGGTGTCTCCGCAGGCGGCCGCTCGTTGACAGGAGGACTGGACACGCTCCCCTCCCCCTTTTTCTCGCCGTTTTCCCGACCCGGTGATGGCCGTCATTTCTTGACAAGAAACTTAAGATCGGCAAAATTCAGGACCTGGAGTCATGGGTCCCTCCGGTTAGTGGTGGCGACAGTTCCCTCCGACATCGCCCGGTACCTATGTATCTATATTTTCTTTTGACGCTGAAGCGTGAGGTGCCCCAGGAATGAGAGTTTCCCAAGCCCTGGCCGCCCTCCCCCGGCACGCCGGGTTCCCGTGAAGTCTCTAGGTATGTAGGACTGGCCGCGGCTCGTGCTTCCAATATGGGGCAGGGGCAGGCTTTTGAGGCTGTAGCCGGCTCTTAGGAAAGATGCTGGACTTCAGCTGCTTTCTGAGGACTTTTGTCATTTGACTCGCAGCCTAGTCCTTTCTCAAGGGGGAGGGGTGTTCACGGGTGAGATGAAAGATGGGGCTTCAAGCCAGCGATTTCCTTGTCCTGGCTATTTCCTTCTCTTCGCACTTTTCTTAGACTATTTTTTTCTCCGGTGTTTGAAACATGTCGCAAGGAAGAAAAGCAATCTACGAAACTATTAATGTTTTCCTCCCACAAAACTCTACCCCGACAACTTAACGGTAATTTCGCGATCCCCACCTTTTCTTGGGAACTCTTGACGCTGAGGAGGAGGGACGAGTTATTTATCTTTCCCTTCGGTGATTTTTTTCTCCTCCTTAGCTGGTGGTTTCTATCAATTCCTGCTCCGCAGTTCTTGAATGATGTGAGCCAGTGACGGTATTAACTTTAGGTAATACTTTTATGGCCTTTGTAAAAATCCCGCGTTAAGGATGTATTAGATCTTTAGTTATTTTCCGCGCTGGAGGCACCACTAGATTAACCCTTTGCCGGTGTACTGCGTGTGGGGTGCACGGCTCTGGGTTGCAAATATTCCGGAGATGCTTTTTGCAGCAGCTACTGTGTTCAATTGTTCGCAAAGAGGAATAAGGCTTCCTGCGAACTGCAGTGACACGCTTCTTTAAGACTGCCTATCTACAGTTTTTGCCCCTGGAATTGATATAACGATTGATTTATATCTTATATTTCTATGAAGACTGGGGGACCCGCCCTCGCTTAGAATGTTTCCCGGAGGAGAACAGAAGAGTGCAATGTGATGTTTTTCAAATTTTGTCTAACGGAGCTCCCAAAACACTGGACTTGTTACCTCCTGATTGGCTGGAAGGAAGCGGGCCTGGGGGGTTTTGAATGTTGAATGCTAGATTATAATTCTCGACTTTCCGAAAAATTGTACATTTAGCCAGAGAACCACAGAAATGGCTACGAAGCGTTAGGACGAGAGTTTAGGGGAAAAGTTGGTTTTTAATACTTTTGTTTTTCTCCTAGAAAGGACTTTCGTGTGGTTCTGAAACGCATATTAAAAGTAAAACTGAAGAGGCTGTTTACGCAAAATTAAGTCTCTGCTGGTTGAAATTACAAAACTTTTATGTATTTGTCACTGTTCTTTACTGGTTAAAAACGGAGTGAAAAATTTAGTTTTTTTCCTTTGATAGGAGTTTTTCGCCTTAAACTGCATATATTTGTTGGATGCACATTACGGGACAGTTGTTTCTTTTATTTTGATGGAAAGAAATTTCAATTTTCTTAACGTTCACGAATGATCTTTTTCACATTTTCCATAAAAATTGAACATCTTATTAAAAAAATTTTTCACATCTAATGAAAATGTACCGATTTTGCTAAATCAGTAACTGCAGTGAACTAAAACTTTAATTTGCAAGACATTTATGTTTCTTAGACAACAGGTAAGCACAGGTGCGTATATATTATTTCACTCCTTTGATAATAAATTCACTATGAAGAAATATATTGTACACAACAGTGTGGGTGTGCTGTTTTTTATCTGGTTGATTTTCAGTTGATTTTTGTTCAGTGTTGCTTGAGACAGCCGTCAGTATATTTCTATTTATTACCAAGTTTGTCATTTCATTTAATTGCATCTTGATAAGAGGCAGGTGTAGTTTTCAAAGAAAAGTGGTAAACTCACTGATAAACAGCTGTAGATGCTTTAAGAAAGAATTATTTTAATTTAATAGAAGTTTTTTTATGAATAGTAGTTGAAATTTTGAAGCTCATAATGTATGTTCACATTAAGTCCTATATGCATTGTTAGAAAATATTCAAATAAAAAATCTTACAGCTTTTATAAATCTCTGTAGGGCTGTAAATATAATTTGTATTAGTAAATGGAACAGCTGAGTGTATAATTCATACTATTTTGTGTTGTCGTCATAACAAGAATTGTGATAACAAAACCCATTTTCATTACCTTTGTTCAAAGCTATTTATTTTGAGACATCTCATGAAAATTTCATAAAAGGTGCTAATTATCTTCTCAATAAAATTTGATTTAATGAAATTGTAGGAGATTTCATTTCTAATTTAAACATAATTAAACCTAAAGTACCTGAACTAGTGGGTTTTGCTTTTTTACTGAAAGTTTTTGTTTTGAGTTTTGCCTTTTCATTCAAATTATGTAAGTTTGGGGGAGAGTTGGGGCAAGCTTTAAATTTAACCATACGTTTTTAGCACTTTGGTTTATGGGATTTTTGTTTAGGGAGTGATAAGTAAAGGATTGTTTTGTTTAATAAGTCATTTTTAAAAGGAGTGATTCCTTTATTTAAAATACATCTCTTCAAACTTGAGAACACACTAGCACCTAAATAAAATTCACAGCATTCGAAATACTTTTATGTGACCCTTCCTAAGAGGAAGATACTGGTTTTAGACTTGTGTGCATATAGATACAAGTTTCAACCAATGTGAATTTTTTAACGTTTATGTGCACTTATCCATATTTCTCTGTAGAGGTTGACAGTTGTAATTTATTTTGTATTACAAGAATTAGTAAAGTCATTTCTTACCGTAGGAAAGCAACTGCCGGGTGTGGTGTTGCTACAATAGGTCACCTCTTTTTAAAGCCTTGTTTACATATTGTGGGGGAAAGGGGACTAGAGAAGGTATCAGTCTTACTGGTAGCATTGATTTTCATTTGTTTGCCCCCACACTGTTTTTAAATATTAAAGTAAAAATGTAATTTCAGACTTTTAAAAAAACGCTATTAATTTATTCGTATACATTTACAAAATGTAGCCTCGGGTGTTTGTATGTAACACTGAGTATTTTTTCCAATCAGATTAATATCAGTTTTAATGTTTAGCAACAACTATAGCTAAGGCTAAAAAATTTAAAGTAGGTTTCGTATTCTGGATCCCTAGTTTCATCATGCTTTATGTACTACATTTTTGTTTTTTTTTTTTTTGTTTTGTGGAGACTCATGTATATTTTTGTTTGTTTATTGGTAGGTAGTAACTATTTGGAATGTCATAGAATACTTGAAGCCAGAAATATGGGTCAGTTGATTTGGTTTACAAAATGAGAAAAAATTCCCAGAGGCTGTATTAGGTAATTCTTATATATGACACATTAGTTTTCTTCAAAAGAAGATGATAAATTTATAGTTTTGAAAAATTATTCTATAAAAATTTTTATTTTAAAATATTGCCTAAAATTGGCTCTTTTCTTTCTTTTGTCTAATGAATCTTACAAATTCACATATTAATTTCCTTTTAACCTCTTTTTAGAAGACACAGATTTTTTATCTAATAACTAGAAAACACATCTAAGAAAAAAAGTCATACTTACAGTTTTGTGGGGGTTTTTGGTTTGGTTTTGTTTTTAATTCAGCAAACTTTGAAACACTGTATGCCAGGAAACTAATTTTGGCACATAATTAGAGCTCAAACTCAAACTATGACTTGCTGAAATTTTGTAGCCCCAAATCTCATAAGACCAAAGGAAATCAGTAATAAAATACCTCTTTATTTCAAATAAGTGTTGAAAATGTGATTAAGCATTCAATTTTTAGAATTTAACCTCATGATTGTCTTAAGAATGACAAGATTGATTTTTAGAATATCACATTACTGTTTATGTGTTTGTTTATCTCATTATTTGCAACTACAAATGATTGTAGATCCTTCATATAAATATTACTTTCTGATAGGGAACTGAATTTTATTTATTTTTTGCCTGGGTTGGTTTTTTGTTTTTGTTTTGTTTTTTGTTTGTTTGTATTTCTAATACAGATGCTTTCTAATGCTTTAAAGGCTCTACTTTTTAGAAGGACAAGTTTTAAATATTGGAATTGATATTAAATATATATTTGAATTTTATTAATATTTCTTATCAAAGTATAAAAAGTTTATTATACTTTGATGTAATTCTGCCTTAGTTCACTAAAGAAAATTTGTACTGAAATAACTTGTAGTGGTTTCTAAGAATAAATAGTAAGCTGTATTTTGTAACAGTTTAGATTTGAGTTTTACTATTTTTAGGTTTTTTTAATACTGTTTTTTTTTACCGTACACATTGGTTTATTATTTTATGTCCAAACCTCTTTTGCTTCTTATTGCTTGTTATTTTCATCTCCCTACTATTTAAAAACTTAACATTTAACATGTATTTTCCTTCTATGATTTTTAAACTTAAGATAACTTAATTTTCAGAGTGCTCAAATATAGAAAATTATTTTGAGGAAGTCTCTGTATAAATGATTGTAATTTTTTAAAATCTCATGGTATTTGCATTGGTGTTTATGAGTTATGGATGATTGTGTGAGTTTTGTCATTATATAATCAAATATTTGGCAACAGAGGAATAAAGCGTTTTTTTAGTTTTTATTTTCTCATTTTCCTAAACTATTAAATAAAAGTGGAAAATTTCTTCAGAGCATTGTGATTTACACATAGTACATGATACACCTTTGGTAATTTAATACTTTTATATAATCGATTGCCATTGAATCATTGTAATTCAGAAAGGCGAAGCAAGTGAAAAAAAACACATATATTCAGTTACATCTCACCACTACTTAGAAACATTAAAAAACCATTTGGTCCAGTAGTGGTCCATTTATTATTTGAAAATATGTTAACTTAAAAAAAAAAAAATAAGCTCCACATTTTGGTCTGTCAGGATTGTAATTTATTAAAATGTTTGGAAATGTAGATTTTTTTCACTTAGGCTTGGCAATATACTAAAGTTGAAAATATTGATAAATTCTTAGCTGGGCATGGTGGCGGGTGCCTGTAATCCCAGCTCCTCTGGAGGCTGAGGCAGGAGAATCACTTGAACCCTGGAGACAGAGGTTACAGTGAGCCAAGAACGTGCTATTGTGCTCCAGCCTGGGCAACAAGAGCAAAACTTTGTCTCAAAAAAAAAAAAAGAAAGAAAGAAAGAAAGAAAGAAAAAAAAATAATGGTAAATTCTGTCATTAAAACCTTTGGAGAGAAAATTAAATTTTGTCCCTGTCCTGTCAGTAACTTTTTTAACTGTGTGAATTTTAGAAGTACAAATTATATTTCTGATATTTTTCTTATGAATCTGTCTTGTACCAGTCCTCTAACAGCTACCCCCATACACACTCATCCATACTACTTTGAACATGAATGCCCTAAAGAGAAATGAAAGCAGAAACATATTAATCTGATTTGTTTGAAGAGGCTTTAGATGATAAAATATATCACAGGTGTTTCTAATCAAGTTATTTCTGTTTTAAAAAACATTTTCAAGTTAGAATTTCTCTGAACATAGGCAAGATTGGGGTCATTTTGAAGACCATACCTCTGTGTTCAGGGATCAACTGTGGAATTGCAGGAGATGGAAATCTGTTGAGTGTCTTCATGCTATAATACATGACATTTTTATTGCAGGTTTTGACCTGTAGGAGAGAACCAATTCTGGAGAACAACCTCACTTCTTTGATTGAAAACTCACGTAATGCATTGGAACATGACATGAGATTAAGGTATACTAATGAATTTTAAAACCATATAATTTTATGTCTTTGCAATATAATCAGACTAGACAGTTTGTAAAGCTGAAACCTATGTGAACTAAAATCAAATAATTACTAATAAACAAATCATCATGTAAAGTGGCCATAGCTGAGCTGTCTTGCTTATTAAAACTCCATATTTTTTTTTTTATACAATTGATCTTCTCATCATCCTAAGGTCCAACTCCAGCTGAATTTATTTATTCCAAAAATAAGTATATATAGTAGTTTTTGTTTTCTTAAGGTTGTTACCGCAGTGTACTCAGTAAAATTATGAACTTTTCATCTTATAAAATGGAGAGTTTACATCAAATGGAATTTGGTGCTTGGCTGTTTGACAGGTGATAGACTAGTAGGTAAAGCCTGCAAAATTAGGTCAGATTGATGAGAATATTTTAAGCAAATTTAAAGTATTCCAAGTACTATCCTAATCAAAAGTGGCAATGTGGTTGAAACCGAAAAACCCACTTTCTTAAGCAGAAATTACTAGTATCTTACTCAGATACGCTGAGTAAATATTTAAGTTATTGATATCAAAAGTTGCAGACTCTAAAAATAAAATTGTAGAATCCCTAAACCTTTACAGTGATTTTTATAGTTTTAGTTGAAATTTTCAGATAGTGTTTAACTAATACAACTTTTGTTTACTAAATGGTAATCTGTTATAGTGAAAATGAACTTATTGAACAGTTATTGCTAAGTATTATTTGGTTAATTCTTTCATGGTAAAGTATTAATCTTATGTATACATATATTTGTGTACATTGATTTAAAAACTATTTTCTAAAGTAAGGTTTAGTAACTACAATTTTTTTTTAATTTTTTTTTCCTAAAAAATATTCATATACTTCGAGGAAATGTCAAAGGTTTGTTTTTATGTTAAAATTATTTAGACTTAAGAATGAAGTATATGGTCATGATCATAGAACTGCTTTTAACTTCCAACAATGTAAAATTTTTAAAGATGAATTCTAAGATGTGTTTGAGTCAATGTTGAAATACACAGCAAAATACTAAAAACTGAAATTTGATATTTCTATATTGTTGTATATTAGGTAGATAATCCAAGAATGAATCTATTAACAGTTGATGTTAAATAAAATGGAAAGATATTTAGAAATCACAGTTTAATATAAGGATGACGTTTACTTTTTTATTGGTGTCATACTGTAAGGTGGTTGAAATAAATATAAGATATAGAATGTCTTCATGTGTTTGACATTTTTATGAAAAAGCAGCTTAGTTTGAATAGGATGAAAATAAATACAGTTTTTCCCTCACTGACTTAACAAGTATTTTTCAGGTTAGAGAACATTAAGATGAAAAGTGGAAAATATGGTTACCTTAGTGTCTGGGAAAAAAATCCAGGTTCAATTTATCACTTTCATTGCAGGTATCTTTAGAAACAGCCTTAATGAGTTAAATGGGAAAAGAGAGGCAGCATTTGATTTTATATTGTAGATAAGATATAAATCCACAGAGTTCCTAGAGAGTTTATGAATTGTGATCTTTGAAGATAGCAAAACTTACTTATATTTAGCATCATGTAGTACTCCCTATAGTTATATAGTGAGTTGTTATAAACTTCTAATACTGTACCTTAGTAAATAATTTGCTGTCTAACAGAATCAATACAAATATTAACAGTTAACTTGTATTTGGTCAATTCTTACAGGGTGAGAAACTTTAACCTAATTAGGAGTATGTGTTATTTTAGGAGGCTAATTAACAGAGGTGGTGTCAACTGCTATGTATGATTGGCTCTTTTTTAACTACCCCTTGAAGGGGGCAGTTAAAAGACATTTTGTAAAGATTTTGACTGTTTTAAATTTGCAGACCTGATTATCTAAATCTAAACCTTGATACGTGGTTAATCATGTCAGAATTTGGGGGAAGAGATTTATTGTGTTAATTTTTATCTTTCTTTCAGTGATTTGTATCTAATTTGTTCAGTATTTATGTTTTTGGCTAAATGCATAATCAGGGTTAAATAACATTCACTTTTGGGAAAAATTCTTAGCTGTCCCTGAAATACAGTTATATCATCATTGTTCCTGTCTAAATGAAATGTTTTTTTTTTTTTTTTAGGGATAGAAAGAATATTTAAATAAACTAGAATACAGATAACATATCTACATATGAATGAACTTAAAATTATTTATTATTTATCAGAGATGTAAAATGCTAGTTTATAGGGATATGTATGTTATATTTTAGGCAGTTTGTCAGCTATGACAATTTTCTTTAATACAGGTTTTATATATTGCTAAGTATTTGTTAAATAATAGATACAGTTAACTTTTTAAATAAAAGTTTTAAAATATTTATTTGAAGCAATTTTGTATATGTGTGTATTTTATGTGTTTTTTCTTAAACTAGCAAATGACATCCTTAACCTATTTCAGTTGTCTTTCTTCAAATAAGACCTAATGTATTAGAATTATATTTTCTGATAAGCATTTTTCAGAGGGTTCTAAATTTATATTAAATATGTTTTGAAGTGAAATTTCTATTCACAGCACCACAAACCACAGTTTTGATACTTCATTAACATATATTATTTGACTTAGTTTTACTTTCCTATTTTCATGGTTAGAGTCTTGGAAGAGAAACATGAAGCATGTTTCACATGTGGCTGCTGAGTGATTAATCCCACTGGTTAGTACTTTATTAATCCACTTCCTTTTCCAAGTGTCTGAATTTTTTAAAATCTTTCTTTAGGATTTGCTGTTAGTCTTTTTTATCACTTTCTTATTAAACAAATATATATAAAGTATCCTCTGATCTTCAAAATTATTTTATTATTATTACCATTATTGTTCCTCATGGAGCTGCTAAGCAGAAAAATTACTTTTTCAATTTTGGTTAAAAATAGGAGATTGGGATTTAGTTTTGATTTTTTAGAAAATATCTAAATTAAAAATATTGCTACTGTTTTATACTTTTATTTTAAAATGTCTCAAACTTAGCCTTCTTGATTAGGTATTAATATTTAAGTTTACCAGCCAGTTTTAGCCTATGTGGGTTTTTCTTTTTAATAGTTTATAGATGTCCAAATTTTTCTGACTTTTTATATTTTTCTGAATCACAAATTGCTTAAGGTTCTAAAAGATGAGTTGCATTTAGATTTAAAGCTGTAAGTCTATAAATAGCATCACATTACATTTAAAGGTAATTGAACAAAGAATAGTTCTATTTGTTACTAATCAATTAATAGTATATACTTACTAAGTTTTTAACTTTGTATTGCATATTTAAAACAGGTAAATTGCATGTGGAAGTGTTTTTAATGGGATTTATGAAAAAACATTATGAACTAAAATCTTGTTTCTTTGCTAATAATGTCTAAAGTCAAACATACTGTGATTAGATTTGGGGTACTTGGGAGCCAGAGGCATTTTGTAAGCAAAATAAAGTGTCGTTTCTTGATTGAGTTTGACACTTTCTTACTTTCCAGGAGAATAGGTAGAGAAGATACTCTCTTTATAAATTTACCCCAACATTGGTTAAAACTCTTCAGAGAATTTTTATAATTAAGCAGTTAAATCTAAACTTACAAGCTGAAGATTATTGTATATATCATTAATTTTTCCTTGCATATATTTAGATTCCCTTTCTAATCAAAACAACAATTTTGTCTTTTTTTTCTCTTTCCACCCGACTTTTTTTAAAAAAAAGTTCTTTTAAAGTAATTTTATCATGTAGTGATAGCAGACCTGGTAGGTAGGTAGATCTCTGAACCATTTTTCCTCTGTGTGTCAGCTGCATATTCTTTTCTCAGCTTACTGTTTAAGAAGCAGCAGCAGCAGCAAATAAAGTTATCACCACAGCTCTTGTTCTTAACCCTTACAGCTGGGAGCAGAGGCTGGGAGATCGATGATGCTTGTCAACTGTTGTGCAGAATAGCATCAATATGCAATAATGGTGGCCACAGGAGCCTGTACTCATTTGTTTTTACAAACCCAGGTGGGAAGATCCCCACTGTCACTGTACCATATACACAATATAGAGAATACATGCTTTGGCAGAAAGGTTGCAGCATAAAGAGAAAAGTAGTTGCTTGTAGTTCTTAGACTCTATTTTACTAATTACTCTATGGCTTTAGTTCATTTAATTTTTATTCAGTTAATTCCATCTGTTAGAATGGAAAAGTGTCTTGCTTCTGGAGGTATATATGGTATGTTTCATGGTTTCACTTTTAAGCTGGTAGACTGAAAAAATTATTAATGATTAGTTGCTGATATCACAAGTTAGATAATATGTTGAGGATAGAAAGAAAAGTTGGCTATCGTCACACAGTAGTGTTTCTTCACTTTTGGACCATATTATCTTTGTTTTATAAAAGCCCAGTCTAACAAGGCTGAATTATTCTTGATTGCACTATAATAGAAGAAAACAACATTCTATGTTAACTTGGTGTTATCTAAAAGTAAGCCACAGATGAAAATGTATGTCTGTTTTTTCTTACTACTATTTATTTTTTTTATATAACATTTCTCATTGAAACATCTTTTATCTGAAAGCTCAGATTATTCTAAATCTTTTGGAAACAGGACTTTGTAATTTCAAATAATATAGAATAATGTTTTTATTTTTATAATTTAAATTTGCACAGATTCGTATAACCTAAACACTCATTTTTTTTTTCTTCCTTTTACATCTAATTTCAGTAAGTTAGAGATACAGGGAAGTCTAACTATTGAATTTCTACAAACGTTCTGAATTTATTTATAAAATTCTTGGTGGGAAACTAATGACTGTGTGTGTGTGTGTGTGTGTGTGTGTGTGTGTGTGTGTGTATATAAAGCTAAATTGCAAGTTTGACATTTGCAATAGCATTCTATTTAAAAGATAATATAGTTGCTTTCTGGTAATCTTCATTAAAATCACTCCTGATCACTCTAAATATTTTCCTGTGCCAATCATAGTAAATTGAGAATATTAGTTCCCTGGTAAATTGTTTTTAAAAGCTTTGTCATAGTATGTGCTTAGTTATCTGAAAAAATAAAGAGCCCATAATCTTTTCTGGCATCGTGAAGTCAAGCATATTCAGCCATAAATTGAGGTTACTTTTGTTGTTGTTGACTAATGCTAGAGGTTTTTTTAAAAATACGTTTATGTAATTTAACAGATAACATATTAATTACTGTTACCTCCCCTAACTAAAACATGAGTTACATAATCCTTTCTGTTGAAAACACTTCATTTTTAATCATTACTTACTGCTTAGTGCCTGCGAACCACCTGTATGAGAATAATCTAGAATTTAAAAAACAAAAACATTTTTCCAGACCTGGAACTTGCACTTTTTACAAGCTCTAAGAGATTTCTCTTAGGAGCACCACATGTGTGAGAAGCACTTCCCAAAATCTTGGGGGAAGGATTGTTCATACCAATAAACTGCCTTCTTTTCCTGCATCCTTTTTTCCCTCTTTGGTCATCTTGGATTTAAGCTCAATATTTATTTAGGAATCTTATCATTTCTATTACAATAGTTCTAGATTAATAAGTTCTTGAATCTTAAATTCAGCTGATTAAAAAAATAGATTAAGTCTTGGTATTTCCTCAATCATATGAAGAAAATAGGTGTTATCAGAGCTTTATTTTCATGTAAGTACCTTGGGCCAAATTTCAGTCTATTTTCTTTGGAACATTTAGTATACCTATGTGAAACCAATACTTGATGAAAAACAAAAGGAATTGATCACTTATGAATTTTTAAATTTTCATATAGATAGTAGCTGTTTTTTAAAAATACGTTTCCAAATGTTGGAGGAAACATAAAATGGGGAACTTTTCCTATGCTGCTTGTGAAAATATTTAGCAATATCCTTGTAAAGTTGAAGATACAATAGGCTTGAACCCAACAATTCCTAGATGCTCTAGATAAACTCAGACATGTAGAAAATAATCTTGGTTATTTTTATTAGGAAAAAAATGTAAATGTTAAGTAACAAGAGAATGGCAAGTTGTGACATTGTCATGTAATGAACTGTATAGCTATTAAATGAGAGCTGTGTTTATCATCATGAGTGCATACCCTACTTCAGCAAACAAAAATGAGTTGCATAAAGGTTATATACAGAATAACATGTGAAATATGTATATTATACCATTTATCTAAAGCTTAAAAGCAATGATAAAGTTTAAATTCTTGAATTGGTAATAATACTGTAAAAACGTAGGAAATAAATATCAAATTCAGGATTGTGATTGCATCTTTGGAAAGTGGAAAGGAATCGGGATAGCTCACAGGAGCATCATCTGTATATGTAATCAATTTTCATAAAAAACAAAGCAAAGCAAGCATAGCATATTATTAGATTTTAGTAGAGCTGGATTGGGGGTCCAGAGATAGGATGTAGACATTCATTTTGGTATTCCTTTGATTTTTCTATGGATTTTGAAGCAAATGATTTTGAAATTTTTAAAAACATACTGTTTATACTTGCAGTGCTCCATTAAGAACATGGATGGGTTTATCGATTCTTTCTATTCTATGTCTTGTAGTAAATGCTTAACTATTAGTTGATGTAAGAACTACAACTTAGAATCATGACCCATAGAAACTAAACATTCTAACCAACTCAAATTACTAGCATATCTAAAAATATGTCATATTTTCCTGCCTTTGTGTACTTGGAATTGTGTAATATACAATATATGGATTATAGATTATGCAGTTGTATGTGTGTGAGAAAGATTAATCAGTCTTGGGATACGATCTTGAATTTATCTTAAAATAACTGCAATTATATGGTATTCTTTAGAAGCTAATTGGGCTCCAAGTTAGAGTTTTAGCTACATTTAAATTTTTAGCTTAAACTTCAAGAGGCCAATAGTAATAGAAAAGCAAATTTTAAAAGCCAGTGATAAGCAGAATGTAATGGTATGCAGGCCTGTAATTCCAGCTACTTGGGAGGCTGAGGCAGTAGGATAGCTTGAGCCTAAGAATTTGGGCTGCAGTGAGTTATGATCACACCATTGCACTCCAGCCTGGGGGTGATAGAGCAAGACCCCATCTCTTAACAACAAAATAACAAGAATGCTGCACTGGGCTGAAACGGAAATGCTGCTGAGTGTTTATAATCTGTGATTGTTCTGTGCTGCATAAGGATCAGAATACAGTGGTGGCAATCTCAGTTGAAATGTTCTGACTTACCTAATGTGATCACATTTTTAAAGTCTTCCCTCTTTTTCCTAGGTTTAATAATGATAGAATGAAGACCATAATAAAAGAGACCTCTACTTAGTCAGCAGTTCTTACCTTGTAAGTATTAACTCTGAGTCTCCCTATCATTGTTATAAAAAGTTACTGTTTGGTGTAATGTTCTGGTTTGTTTCTGATTTTTTTTTTCCTGCTTATCCTAGTATGGTAACTTTCTAACCTCCCCAACCCTCTACACATTGAGATTTGATGTTAATTAATAAAGCAATAATAATGCCATTGTTTTGGTAAGTTATTTAGGGAAGTATTTTATAGCCTGGCCCTGTCATCTCTAAGTCTGAGAATCACAATTTTGAGCTTTTTTCTTCAAAGGAATTAACAAATAAGTAATTATCTTTTTTACTACCGTCATTATACAGGTTTATTGATCTTAACAGTTTTATAAATTGAGAGTTTTCTCTCCACTTGAGAAATGATTTTTTTTTAAATTGTTTTTAATTTCATTAGGTTACACTTGAGACTTTGTAAAGAGCTTAACATTTAGCTGTTAAAACTTGAAGAGGTTGGAGAAACATGAAGGCAGTCCTTTTTCCTTCCCTTTTTAAATTTTTCATTTATTCAGTATGTATTTATTGAGCATCTACCATGTTCCTAGTACTTTTCTAGGAGCTGAAGATATAGCAGTGAACAAAACAGATAAACAAGTAAGTACATAATTTAAAGCATTTCTGACATGGATTCAAAGTCAGAGGTTTTGAGTAGGGGCCAGGACCCTGCAACTTTAGCAGGCTCTCCCTGAGAAGGATGCCAGCAGCTCATCTGTGGTCCATGCTGTAGAGAAGCACAGTGTAAAGAACCCACTCCAGAGAGCCAGAGAGCAGTGTCCAGCTGAAAGTCCCCCCTTTCTTCTGTCAGGGAAGTTTGCAGAAGTGAATGCAATGGATAGCAACACCCCAGTGATATCTTTAGGGTGGACAGGAAGGCAGTCTGTTTGGTTGAAGGTCAGGAGCAGGCACCTTAATTATTCAAGACATCATTTCTTGCCCTGGAGTGCCCCATCACCTCCCAAACTAAACCTCACATATTTATTGCAAATATCAAAATGACGATTTGTTGTTCTCCTTTTTCCTTCATTTTATGTATATACATTCATACCTCTTTCTTATACAAAGGAACATTTTTTCCCCAATTCATTTAACTTTTGAGACACTTAGAAATTCTAAAAGAATAATTCTAACGAGTTAACTGAAATTAACATTATGCCTCTGGAAAAACAAAATCAAGGGCATATAAAATGCACAAGATACTTATTTCCATAAAAGTATTTGAGATCCTATAATCAGTTACCAAAAAAACGTCATTTCCATCCATTCCTTGAGCTAATTCTGCATCTCTAAAGAAAAGCTCACGTGCAAGACTTTCTGTTCTTAATGATGTTGAGTACATGGCTCTATTTAAATTAAACTAGTTCTTCAGATGCTTCCATTATATTATCTCACCAAGTGACTCAAATAATGTGTATGTGTTGGGGGATGGCCTTATGATCATAGATGATCAGCCGTTGAACTCAGTTAAGGTGAGAATTTTTAGGTAGGAGATCAGTTAAATATTGAAAACTGTTAATAAGAAGCCAGTTTGCAAAGAAGTTGCCAAAATGCCACGGATCACTTTCTTTTTCTAATTTTCTCCTGGTTACATTTTTGTCTCTGGAAAATTAGAATGGAAAACATTTGCAAATCCCTAAAGAATCCTATATAGTCCAGGCTTGGATTCCTTAATTAGTCCCTTGGAAGCCAGCACAGCCCTTCTTCAACTTAACTCTTGAGAAAAGAAGTCTTTTTAATTCGTAATACTCTCAGACTGGAGGGCAGTTCACTTTTCAAAAAGAAATAGGTATCATTTAGTTTCTAACAGATATATAAGCACAGATAACATCACATTCTTAACATCATTTCATCTCCTTTATAAATTTCTAAGCTAGCAGTCTTGGATACTTTCCAGCATCTTTTAAACATAGGCCATTTGTCATACTTCATAGTTGGAATGCTTTCTATTGTCTGTTCTAGGTAAATTCCCCTCAGATTCTAAAATAGTGATGTTTTCAATTAAACAATACTTAGAAAAATAGGTACATAGTGACTGCAATAGTCAGTGATCCTGTGCGATGGTGTCTTCTCCTTCTCTCCTTTTTTTAAAAATGTTTGTTTAATGCCATTATTTCTTTAAAATGGGATTTTTTTTTTTAAGCTGTTCATTTGTGGAATGTGGATGTTCTAGAAGTTGTAGAATAGTGATGTTTTTGTATACAATGCTGTCAATTAAACAATGGCAGTTTTGGGTTCACTTTTAAAAATTAAATATAGAGATGGAATATTTTTCAAGTTTATTTTTCAATTTAGAGATCTTAAACTTTTGTTGCCTAACAAAAAATTGAGAAATAATTATATGTCTTTTTTTCTCCTTTTTCTTTTTTGAACTATTTTGATTTTTCGTATTGCATTTTTTGATACAGACACTTAAATTATATATTTCTGTTTGTAAATAAATGTAAGCATATTTTTACCTGTAAATGTAATTACATGTTTATATCTGTTATGTAAATTTAAATGTATCATTTGGTGCTTAAAAAACATATTTAGGTGCTTTGTCAGCAGTTAAGAATATTACATCTCTCTTTTTAATAATCTACAACAATAAAAATCTTAAAACATTCACTTTATAAATGGGGAAAGGAAAGATGAAGCAGAAAATTTACCAGTGCTGTCAATGTTAGTCCCATAAACAAAAACGATAGAGATAAATTACTTCCTAATTCCAAAGACTTATTAAATTGGCTGCTATCAAGAGCAAGACTAATAAAAAGAAATTTAAAAAACTATTTCTCACATATGACTGGTTATCTAGATAAGTTTTTAGAAGTCATATCAAGTTAGCAATAAAAGCAATGACATGTAATCATACCAGTCTAGAAAATACTGTCAGTTGTTAAATTATATATAATACAAATGTAGGACTGACTGAAAATACTGCAAAAAAAAAAAAAATGACAATGTTTCAATCCATACAGCAGTAAATAATCAATGATATGGCAGATGATACAAAATCTGTTGTGCTTTCAATAAAACCATAATGATGTAATTATATTATGCACTACACATAGCCAAAGATTTTCCTACTTTTAATTATTGTGATAGAAATTTACTCTTGCATAAATTGCTGTCTACCTGTGCCACTGATGAGGAAATTCCAGTTATCTTTAATAGTTTAAAAATGGGAATGTTGCTGGGCATGGTGGCTTATGCCTGTAATCCCAGCACTTTGGGATGCTGAGGTGGGCAGATTACCTGAGGTCAAGAGTTCAAGACCAACCTGACCAATGTGGTGAAACCCCATCTTTTAAAAAAAAAAAAAGGGAATGTTTCTGGGAGAACGGAATTTGCCAAAAGAGAAAAAATAAGTTACTCTTTTGTTAGTTGGATTAGTGGTGAAGAGTGTTATAATCCAAAAAATTCATAAAGGTGCAAGCTACTACTATCAACATTTGATAGTAAAGGGAATGGCTTATAAATCTATTCATATGTTGAAGTGCCATTAATTTAGTAAATATATAAAATCTAGGCTCTTGTGTATTGTTCTATGATTAAGAAACATAGAGAAAGTTCACAGTATGTTTCAGCTGTTTTTCATTGTTCAGATAATTTCTATTTTTGAGAATTAAACATTTAATCAAAATGCCAGGTATTCCTTGTCCTCATTCTTACATATTTGTCATATATATGTTTAGCAAAATTATTGAGTTAAATATTAGCCTTTATGTTTAAGCAATGGCTGTGTTTTTTGCTGTTAATAAAATTGCAGCCATAAAATTTGAATTTTAGTGCTAAAATTATAGAAAGGAGTTGGGCTTGTTTCCTTAACCTGAACAACTTCTTAGCTTCTAGATGGATGATTCAAAGAGGAATAACAGGGAATTTTTTATTTATGAAGTTATTTGGTTTTCTTAGGAAAACAAGGTAGAATATAACAGCATGGGGCCTGATTTAAATAGAATATAATTGTACAGATAGAATCAACTCTGCTGTCATGGGATCTCAAGTTATAAACATCAATGCAATAGGTAATATCCCCTGACTTATTCTGTGTACTTTTGCCCTAATCTACTACCTGTTAGTCTGAATCTTGAGTTTTTAAACTTAATCTCCATGTAAAAGCAGAAATAAATTGAATGCAGAATTAAAATACATATTGTCAGTTATTACACCTGATTTTCTGCCTACATTATAAGCTTTATTTTTCCTGTTATATCCAGTAAACTAACTTAATGCTTATTTTTCTGTTAAAACAATTTACTTCAAAATATCTTATAAAATCTCAGTTTCTTAAAGTAAAACTATTTGTAGCTCATCAAAGTGAAGTTTCAATATATTTAACAGTATTACCACTAAGAATGCCATCCTTGACCAAGCGGGATGGCTCATGCCTATAATCCCAGGACTTTGGGAGGCTAAGGTGGGTGGATCATGAAGTCAGGAGCTCAAGACCAGACTGGCCAACATGATGAAACCCAGTCTGTACTAAAAATAGAAAAATTAGCTGGGCATGGTGGTGGACACCTGTAATCCCAGCTACTAGGGCGTCTGAGGCAGAGAATTGCTGGTACCCAGGAGGTGGAGGTTGCAGTGAGCCAAGATCACGCCACGGCACTCCAGCCTGGGCAACAGGTGAGACTCCATCTCCCAAAGAAAAAAAAAATTCAAGTACTCTATCACCTGTCAAATTTCAGAACTCAGTTTAAAATGTTTAGGGAGGCCAGATATGGTGGTTCATGTGGTAATTCTAGCACTTTGGGAGGCTGATGCATGTGGATCACTTGAGGTCAGGAGTTCAAGAGTAACCTGGCCAACATGGTGAAACCCAGTCTCTACTAAAAATACAAAAATTAGCCAGGTGTGGTGGTGGGTGCCTGTAATCTCAGCTACTGGGGAGACTGAGGCAGGAGGATTGCATGAACACAGGAGGTGGAGGTGTACTCCAGCCTGGGTGACAGAGGGAGACTCCATCTCAAATAAATAAAATGTTTAGGGAAATAATATTTGAATTAA